TATGCTGTTGTCTGCAGGCATTGTTCTCGGCTCAATGGTGGTGTGTACATTCCTCATACATGTGTGCAATTCCTACAGCATGTCTTTCGGGTGTGTTTGTGTGTGTGTGTGTGTGTTTGTGTGTGTGTGTCGGTGTGTGTGTGTGTGTGTGTGTGAAGAGAGAGATGGGCTGACTGAATGGGGCTGTTAGTTGTCTGAATAAAGGCTCTTCATGGCTGAGGCTGACTTGGTGCCACATGTTAGAAAGATTGAGAATGGAAAGGTTGGATTTCTATAGCTGTTGCTATTGTCCAGCGGGGCCCCAAGATACTCCCTGGGGAAGAAAGCACCATTTTCCATAAGGCATTGGACTCCAGCTTGGCCCTGCATAGCTCTCCAGGCCTGGAGTAGCATAGTATCTAAGGTCTTCTTGCCAATTAGAAGAACCCTGAGGTAACAGGCAATGTACTTCTTAAAAGGACAGTAGAGAAATGCCCAGGTTGGCAGTATGTACCTAGGGGCCCACAGGATAACTTCCAGGCCATATTTAATTCCACCGCAACCTAACAAGTGTGGCCCAGAAACTTCCTGTAAATGAATCCCTTGCCATTCCCCCCAAAGAAAGCCAGAGCCACACTGCCCTAAAGTCTTTTTTCATCGTATAAATTATATACACATATTTTTAGCCATTGAGTTTATGTATGCAATTATGCATGCTGCCTGTAACAAATTCTCTGTGGCAACCCCTCAGTATACCTCATGAAAATATTCCTTATCCTGGGACTGACTCCAAACGGGGTAGTTGGAAAATCTAAGGGATCACAGACCTGGCACTTTGAACAGCTATTTGATGGTTAGTTGAGGTGAGTTTTCTGCTGTCAGAATGTGGAGGGAAGGTGGGCTTTGCTTTTGTCTCAATCCCGAGCCTGAACCAGTGGTACTTGGAGTGGGATGGTTTGGTAGCCATGGCATTGTGGAAAGCTGGCCTTTCCCCTTTGTGACCTTATGATGCTGGGTGTGTGTGTGTGTTTGGGGAGCGTGTGTATGGTAGGGGCTGGTTGCTTCTTTTCCCCTCTCTTGGCTTGTGGGGATGTTGCATGGCCTTTTCTCTTGCATTCCCCATGGATTAGAGTCGGTCACTCCAGCATGGGTGGACTCCTGTGCCTCTTAACCCACAGCACTGCCTGCTTGTCTTGCCCTGTAGAAATTCCAAGAGGAGGAGGAAGAGAGCAACACCAGCAAAGTGCCCACCACCGTGTCAGAAGATCATCTCTGAGAGGAAGGTGGTGGTGACTCAGGGAACACAGAGAACACCTGCCTCTCCTTCAGCATGGCTCTCACTGCCAGCACAAATGGCTTCGCTGGAGCAGCTTTTTGGAGGGCACTGGCTGCGGTATTTGTGGCCTGGACGGTGATACTTGTGCCTCCTGGAACCCATTCCTGAGCTTGGATAATTTCATTGGGGAAAAACCGCACCTTTCACCAAATGCAGATTTGATTCTTACCTCCACCCCTTTTGGGTCGTGGGAGCTGGTGTTGGGAGAACGTGGGTTCCTTGGCCTCCCTCTTCACTGCCATCCCTCACGGAGAATGCTTGCAAAATTATTACGGGAAGAAAGCTTATTCAGGATATTAACTTTTACTAGTGTCTTAAGACTTTTCCATGAAGCCTAGTTCTCAGAGGTAACCAGCTGTAGTGCTGGAGGGTCGGTCATTTCTGGGTCATCGGACTGACTGCTCTGTGAATGAGGAGGCGCCATCAGGACAGCACCGTCAGGACTCATAGGCCTCACTTTTCCTGGCCTAACATTGGTGATCTGTCTCCAAACTCTTTCCTAACAGCTGACCAAACCAAACATCAATAAACTTGACAAAAACTGTTGTGGCCATGAAGGAGAACCTGATTTGGGAGGGCTGACTGCCTGGGTTTGTGCTGGTGCTGGACTACCTCTGAGTATGCTTTTGGGCATTCTGGTGGCTTGACCTGGGGAGGGAGGGTTCCTTTCTACAGAAATTCTCGCCCAGGGGACTTCTGCATGCCGTGGTACCCTCTGATGCCTTTTTCTGGATGCCGAAACTGGGAAACTCACCATCAGCCTAAGTGCTTGTTTTATTCCAAGGGCAGTCAAGCCCAACCAATTTACACTAACCTTTACTGAAAATGAATTGCGATTCATTTCACTCTGACAAATCCATAGCTGCTACCGAGAGACACAGGAAAGGGGTAGAAGGTGCTCATTGAGATGGAAGTTGAGTTGGCTTGTCTTACCTCTAGTGGGGACTGTATTTGCACACCCACCCTTTCTTCCCCTCTCTCAGCAATAATCTTAATCAGATATTCCAAATTCACAGGGATTCCCTTTAAGCCAACACAAGCTGACCTCCTTACCTGCCCACCCTGCTCCTAGGCTTTGGCAGTGTCTCCAGAAAGAGACATGTTGGTAATTTCTCCTCTGCACTGGGCAGCTGTGATCACCACTGTGCCATCCTACTCTGGACACTGTCCAGCCTCAGCGTGTCAGAGCAGCCAGAGCTGGCTGCAGTACCACAATGCTTGGGCTGCTGCCCCGAGGGGAGCTGGGTGTGTGTGTGTGTGTGTGTGTGTGTGTGTATAGACATTCGAGACACAGATAGGAGGAACATACTGTGTAATAAAGAAGTTCACACTTTTGGTGGAAGGAGTGAGTCAGGTGGAAGTGAGATGAAGGTGTGCCTTGTGTTTTGATAAGGAGAAGGATGTTTACTCTTCAGCTCCTCAACATTCATTAACAGAACCTTTACCAAACCATATTGCTTTATATTAAAAGACATAATTTGTATTTTCTGTTTGTAATATCAGATATTTTCAGGCAATAAAAGATTCTCAAAGTGATCTGCTTTGTCATGTGGTAGGGTCAGCAGAGGTGGCTTCTGGTGGTTCCTACAAGGCCATCACATATTCCTGAGGACTGTGTCTAAGTGGAGAAGGATGAGGGGGCAAGCTGGAGAAGCAGCACCTTTAACCCCGTTGACAGATGTTAACAGATGTTACTACCCAGTGGGATGTTTTCTAAAGACCAGACCATAATGGTTACATATCGGCATACCTGGGGGGCTGCAACTCAATGTCCCAACATGTGTCCCTGACCTCTTTCCACACTGTGCACATGCTGGAATGTGACTGTTGATGGGAGTCCACTGTTGATTCTAGGTCTGCCCCAAAGGGCAGCAGTGTTTGTTCTGTGATCACCCGGCCACACACCAGCTTGCTGTTGTGCAGCCCACAGCTCAGTCCCAGCATCTGCAGTTCTGCGCTATCATTTTCCTTCTGAACTGCCAGTCTTCCCTCCCCAATGGGGCTCTTCTTATAAATGCTACTTGCGCTGCGATCCATTTTCTATACCTTTCTTCCCTAGAGAGTTGTCATGTGCCTGTGGCATTCTGGCACCACATTTATTAGCAATACTTAGATGGGGAGAAACAATATTATGGCTCTATTTTAGTGTCTGCCAGACCATGTATTTCTTCAGATTCTTTGGGATCTGAAGCCTTTTCTGGAGTCCCATTTCTATAAACATGTGCAAGGGGGCCTGAGATATCTTCTGTTCTCCTTTACTCCTTTCATAAGAGGTCTCTATGCGGATCTGCACGCCAGGGCTCACTCTGTGAGATCATTGCTTTTACTACCTCTTACAGGTTGGTAAGGAAAAGATGGTTCTTACCACTGAGGTGTTTTTCTGGATGTAGTGATCTGGGGAAGAGGCCTGGCAGAGCTGCAGCCTCACTGGCAGCATGAAGGGAGCCAGCTTGATGATGATACCAACACAGGTAGGCAGAGCTGAAAGAATCAGAGAAATGGAGCTAGAGTCTTGAGCAAAGTGACTACAGAGCCATTTATCTTGTAGCTTTTCAGTTATGTTGCCACTGTTATTTGTTGTTTAAGCTAAAGGTAGATTTTGTCGTCACCTAGAGAGTGTTAGCTGACAGAGAATTCCCAACATTAAGTACAAACATCAAGCTTCCTATCATGCCCTGGAAGCCTCCTCCCTCCCTTTCTGACCTTTTCTTTCAGTTCCTAACTCTTCATTATGCAGGAGTTATACTGATCTTCCTCCTTGAACAAGACTCTTGCTACCTTTCATTTGCTGTTTCCTCTGCTCCAAAAGCCTGTGTTACATCTGAAGACATCTGACTCCTGGGCATTCAAGTCTCAGCTCAAATCCCACTCCCTAGCCTGGGCAACATAGCGAGACCCTACTCTACCAAAATTTAAAAAATCAGCCAAGTATGGTGATGTATGCTTATAGTCCTAGCTACTTAGGAGGCTGAGGTAGGAGGATCACTTGAGCTCAGAAGGTCAAGGCTGCAGTGAGCTATGATGACGCTACTGCACTCCAGCCTGGGTGACAGTGAGATGCTGCCTCTAAAGTCATCAGGGAGGCCTTTTTGATGTTCTAATCTAAATTATGGCCCTCAATCCCACCCCTCACTCCTTCTTGACCAAAATACCTTGTGTTCTGTAGAGCTCTTACCACTATCTGAAGTTCTTTTTTCAGGGTTGGCTTGTTGATTCTGTTACCTTGACTACAACTTAAGGTCCACAGGAGCAGGGTATTACCTAAGTTGTTCATGTCTCTTTCCTGTGTCTGGCATACAGAAGCACTCAATATCTGTTGAAATAACAAATTGCCCTAAACAAATGGCATGTAAGGGCCACTGTCCCTCCCAATGCATTATCCGTGGGGCTTAGCTGTCTTTTTTCATGGGCATGCAGCTGTTTCTTCTAGGCTGCCTAGTCTATTTTCTGCCTCTGCTTTCCCAAGAATCTGTTTCTTCTTTAGGAAAAAAACAAGAAAGGGTACTGAGTGTTCAGCTGTGAAATTGACTCTTGAAGGTAGGGAAGAGGAAGACTTGACTGCAGGCCTACAGGAGACACGAGCAAGTGACAGCTGGAGCTGGAGGCAGCCAGGTGCCCACACCTGAGCTGGCCTGCCCACTGTGGTGTACTCAACCCAGCAGGAAGCTGTGAGTCTCCCATCCTGGGGCTCAGGAGGCAGAAGTGCTCTTGTCTTAGCAGAGGTAAAGTAAAAGGACTAGCCAAAGGAGAGAGTTTTTCTATTTATTACAAAATTTGTTACACAAATACAAGCTGACCAGAAGATCTAAAAATAGCCCAGACGCTTCCAGTCCTCCAGGCAGAGATAGGAGAACAGTGGTCTTGCTCATGCACAGGGAAGCCCTTCTTAGAAGAACTGCCTGTCCCTTGGAAGGTTCAGAGTCTTGGGTTCAACAGCAGGAAGGAGGCCAGCCTGCGTGGACAACCCCTTAAAGCAGCCCTTGGTCACAGCTGCTCTGGGTGGGCAGCAAGTTTAAGTTCATAGTTCATGTGTTCTCACCACACAAGTCAAATCAAGGAATGAAAACAGACGGGGCAGAGGGCGCAGGAGGCTGGAAAGGCTGCAGGCGGGGAAAGGACACGGTGGGCTTCTGAGGAGCTGGCAGTTTCTTGACTTGGACGGAGTTAGAGAATTCACCCTAAAATTATTCTTTAAATTGAACATACATGTTATATACCTTTCTGTATAAAAAAAATAAGCTACCAGTGAATAAAGGGGCTGATGATGGAACAGGAAAGAAGAAATTAAAGAGCAGAGACAATGGAGCAAGAAGACAGAAGAGGTGGAAGATGACGAAGTCTTGGAGGTGGTGATGCCAGCCTCAATTTCTCTTCTTCTGTCTGGATACTGGTTCTGCTTCTAGGTACCGAAGCCCCACGAGCATGCCCAGGATGGAGAAACCTTAAATAAAGAGGAAAGATTAGCGACTGACAGAAACATGGCGCCTCGCTTATGTCTCCCAGTGCCAGCCCCAGTGCTGGGACAGCTCCTCTGGAGGTCGAGGGGGGCTGCCTGCTTACTTGCCACCATCAGGGGTGCCAGGACGCCAATCGTGGGAGCTGCAGTTCCGTATACAAACAGCTCAGAGAGGAAATGTCCCAGGGCGAGCAGGAAGGTCCAGAGTGTGATGTGATAGAGCCTATGTGAGGGTGACAGAAACAGGCCAGAGTTACTGCTTGTCAGTCCAGACAGATGAAAAGCATCAGGAAGGCTCGACGTACACAGATATAAACCCAGGATGTGACTATGGCTGTGTCTCCTCATCACACGCTGACCCTGCTCTTCCTCCCCCTTCCCCACAACCAGTATCTTCAATCTGATTTGTGTAACTCCTGTGTATGTTTTTGCACATTTTGTAAACAAGGATGCATGTGTGTTGATTTTGAGTTTCCAGTAAGGGAGGGAAGAGGATGAGTGCACATCAGAAGCACAGGGATCAAAGTCCTAGAAAGGGTGAGAAACAGGAAGTCAGCATTTGTAGCCATCCTGTGTTGGGGGAGGGGAAAATGAATGGTAACAGAGGTAAAGATAATTGAGTTGTCTCAGCTCACTCAAAAGCACATCAACAAAAGATACACCCCTTAAATCTACCAGCAGTTCTTTGTCACTGTAAAGGTCTCAAAAATGATTATACAACCTTCCCTCCCTCTCAGGCATCCTGAGGGGTAAAACAGATATTTATTCTCATTGTATAGATGAAGAGACTAAGTTGCAGAGAAGATAATGAACTTACTACTGCTGGAAGCTAGTTACCAACAGAACTGAGACCAGAACCCATTTTCTTGTTTTCTGTATAATTTTTATTCCAAAAAAATTTCTTTAGAGACAGCTTCTCATTCTCTTGCCCAGGCTGGAGTGCAAGAGCATAGCTCACTGCAGCCTCGAACGCCTGGGCTCAAACGATCTTCCCACTTCTGCCCCCAAAGTACTGGAATTATAGGCATGTACCACTGTGCCTGGCTATTTTCTTGTTTTCATTTTTGGCCTCAGGCTATTTCCACTAAACCAACTTCCAGAAATACATGTCAATCTAGGACAAGTCAATCACAATTTCAAGTTTGAAAAAAAAATTAAAAATAAAGTTGGAGAGATCAACTAAGTAGCTAATAGCCCTGCTTCAAATCCCACTTGAATCAGTCTTACTCAGTTTAAACTAATTGGATCTCTAATACTTAGATCTGCAAAATCAGGATGAAAATCCCTACCTTCCAGGGATGCTAGGAGGAGACTTACTCAAGAGCAGGTAAAAACTCCTGACATAAAAAGAGGGGCTCAGTAAATATTATTGCCTCCTCTCTTCCCTGGATGCTGAGAGCTTGGATAAGACAATATTTAAATGAGAAATTGGCATCTTGATAGCCTCACCCAGGGACCTGAATAAACTCTTTCCACTTAGATGGTGATGGTGACTCTTACTGGGATGAAAGCTCGAGCCCCCTCCAGTGGCCAGCCTCGGTTATGGCTTCTGCCTGCCTGCAGCTGTTCCACACTGCAGCTGTTCCACCCATGAGGAAGAACAGGGGAGCCATGGGTTCTCTCTGTCTTACCCACTAACTCGGCATAAGCATACATCAGTTAGCTTGTGGGTTCCGGGTTCCTCTTTTTTCATGGATCATGATTTCTGTTCATTCCTGCTTCTCAAGGAGGAATGTGAGAAAGGTATGTGTGGGTGGCTGCTCTAAAAAGAGCAAACCACTCTGCTGTCTCAGTAGAAGAAAGGCTGGTTCTTTAGTCAAGAAGAGGGGTAGGACACAGGTCCCTGGTTCATAACACTGCCAGCTTGCTACGTCAGTGCCAAAGAGTTTTCAGACTTTAATAAAGTCCTGTTAGGCTTATTATTTATTTATCTTTAGATCTGCAAGAATGGAACCTAGTTCTTCTTATCCACATTCTGAGCTCATGCATTAAAAGGACTAGCAGGTCCCAGGGGCTGGTGGCAGTGAGTGTGCCTTGCACTGAGTCTCCAACAGAAGGATGCTAAAGCTCTTCCTTCCCTTACATACGTCTTGTTGTGAATGTCAATGGCACAGAGGCAGCGAATCACTGAGGAGAGCAGCGTCCAGATCCCAAAGGTCCGAGCTTGGAGGCCATTCACTGTGAAGCAAAAAAGCAAGAGTGCTGAGAAGAGGAGGCCTGGGCTCCTTCCTACTCTGGCACAGCAGAGAGAAGCTGAGCCTGACTCCCTGTGGCTGGGCAGACTGGAGGCTGTGGTGTTGCACGTAGGGACTAGAGGGACTGGGAAGAATCCCAGAATGAGGACTGCTCAGATCCACTTCAGATGTGTCCACAGCTGGAAAGGGAGTTGCCAGAGGGGGAACCCAACAAAAGTCCCAGTTAGGCCAATGACTCTTGGATGTAGCAGTCTACACCCTCTGCCCCTGGAAGCTCTGAGGTTCTGGGTAAGGGCAGGTTTGGGGAATGTTGCATAGACTGGTCTGTCCACACAAGATGCCTAGGAGGCCAGAAGACTTTCAAGACTGATCCAGGAGAGACTCAGAGACACTGGGGACGAATCTAGGTGGCTACATATGGTCTTTAGGGGATCTAAGCCCCTGAATCCCTTCCTGAGTCCAGATCTACATTGTTGAATGAGCCAACACCAGGCTGGTTTCCTGTGCACAGGGTAGTAGGACACACCACTGTTTTTTTGGTGTTGGCTAGGGGCACCCTGCTCTTGGTGGCTTTGTTCTCACATTGCTATATTAAGTAACTTGCCCTGAAATTATGGTTTTTTTTCCCACCATAACAGTACTTGATCCTGGACATTTATTACAATCAACTGAGGGAGGTTTTTGTTTTGTTTTGTTTTGAGTCAGAGTTTGGAGTACAGTAGCATGCTCACAGTCACCGTAGTCTCCTAGCCTCCACCTGCTGGGCTCAGGTGATCCTTCCAAGTAGCTGAAACCGCAGGTATGACCTGGCAAATTTTTTGATTTATGGTAGAAATGAGGTTTTGCCAAGTTGCCCAGGCTGGTCTTGAACTCCTGGGCTTAGGTAATCCTCTCAACTTCACAAACTGAGGGAGTTTTATAAAATTATAAGGTCTGGGTACCTGACCAATTGCCAGTTACATCATACTCTCTGGTGGTGGGCTCTGGGCATAAGTATTTCCTAGAAACTCCCTGTGTGGGTGACTTCAATGCACAGCCATTGATTGAAGGCATCCAGTGGCCTGGGAATACCAGAACAATCAAAGGAAAGCTATTTCTTTGCTGGTCTGTTGCTTGCTGAGCAAGAGAAATTGTTTGGGATACAAGTGACAACTGAAAGGTCTATTAATGATGACTCAGGTTTTGAGGATTTCCCAGCCTTTGGAAAACCAGACAGCTCTAGCAAATTCACAACACTGAAGACTTTTAGATGGGAGTGAGAATAAACTTCCTATGTCAACCAGAATCTAGCATTAGCCCCAGAGGGCTACAATCTTTATAAACCAATTTGAAAGCTTTTCTGATGAAAAGACTGAGGAAATTTCCCTAGGAAGAGTACTCCACAAGCCCTAACCAGATGGGGTATCAGATGAAATTCTATGGGACACTCCAGAGCACTGCTAATCAGAAGAGTACCATGGCAACCTCCAGATCATGAGGGAGGCAGCGGCCTCCACTTCTGGGCCGGCCACACACACACACACACACACACACACACACACACACACACACACTCCCACTTCTGCTCAGCTACATGCCCTTCAACAAGTCCCATCATCCCCGGGCTTCTTTATCTCAAGTTTAAATTCAAAGGACTAGACCAGATAATCTAAGAACCTGTGAATCTACACAGGGTTCCACGATCAGCTGAGGGCAGCACTTGCAGGTGAAGAGAAAAGGAATTTTCCTGCTCACTTTTTCAGGTTCTTTACTCCTATCGTATTTGGGCTTTGCTCAAAATGAGCCTTAGCCTACTTAATTTCATTTCATGCCTAGATGTTGAAGAAACACGAGCTAGGTCAGAGCTTGAATCTGGGTTAGCTATAAATGTGACACAGGACTGTCAGCTGCTGGGAAACAGTGCTGCAGCACAAACTACCCCCACATCAGTGTGAGGAAGTAGAACTCAAACAGAAATGGACACTCAGCAGAGAGGCTCGCGAAGCCAGGAAAAGCCACCACGGGCCTTCTGAAGTTACTTTCTGGGAGACCAACTTGGAGGGATGTGGGATATCTTTTCAGGAACTATGTCATGACAAGACCTTGGATTAGTACCTCTCCATTTGTGATATGGAATAGAAGCCATGTGCGCCCGACCTGGTTTCTGAAGGCTTTGAGATAATATGAAAAGCATCTTCATGGCTTTCTAGTGGGGCATCAGAGAGTCACCAAGTAACTCTATTTCCTCACTGCTCTTATAATGCTTTTTGTACACATTGTCCAGGTTAGTGTAAAATGAATGAAAAGGTATTTAGAATAGCTTAGGGGAAAAGGGTCAAGTGCTCACCACCAAGTCTATTACTCCAGTGGTTGCCAAAGGCTCACTAAGGCAGCATCAGAATCACCTGGGAAATTTTTAGAAACTAGATTCCGGCCCTACCAGGCTTAATAAATAGGCCTGGTGAGGAAAATAGGTACCTGTGCTTTGTTTAAGTTTCCTAAGTTATTCTGAGGTACAGCCTGGTTTGGGAACCACTATGTAGACTAGTCCTCCAAAGGATGCAGACATTTCTTAGTTTCTTACCGAGGTTGGGCTTGCCAGTGTAGAGCTTCTCATATAGGAAGGTGTGGTCTCGGAAGCTCTGTAGTGTGTTCCCCATGGCTATGATGGACACCATAACCAGCCAGCTCCTTAACACATTCAGGAAACGGCTCATGTCTCCCCTCAAGCCTGGGAGGATTTTTTGCCTTGGAAACAAAGGCAGAGGTCAGGCTCTCTCACCTCTGTGGTCAACCTGTGTCCTACTCATGAGCTTAGCTACCGATCACTTCATACAAGCCTCCCCCAGAGCTCTTTACACAATACTCTGTCACAGGGTTAGCATGCTGCACCAAGTGTGCTGACCTTTATCCAGACTGACAAAGGCTAAATAATATGGTGGGTGGAAACAGCCAACCCAGCCAGAAAAAATGGAGGGAAAAAAGGGAGAAGTAAAGGATATGTACAAGTATGACTATAAGTAACCAAATCGATCTTTGCGTAAGACTTAACAAACTGGTTTCAGTATTGAGTCATACCAATCGTGGTCAACACTGCTATAATTGACACAGTACTTATCTTTGTCTAAGAAATTTCTCCAAAATAGTATCTTAAATCAAATTCCTTTCTCTTGGTTGAAATCAGTCTTCCTGTATCTTTGTTTTTTCTTCTTTTTGAGTGGGGTTCTCACTCTGTTGCTCAGGATGGACGGCAGTGGCACCATCGTGGCTTACTGCAGCTTCGACCTTCTGGGTTCAGGCTCCCAAGTAGCTGGGACTCAGGCACATGCCACTCTGCCTGGCTAATTTTTAAAATGTTTTTGTAGAGATGAGGTCTCACTGTGTTGCCTAGGCTGGTCTTGAACTCCTGAGCTCAAGCAATCCTCCTACCTGAGTCTCTCAAATTGCTGGGATTACAGGTGTGAGCCACTGTACCTGGCCCTATTTCTTCTATACCTTTACTTTTTTCATGCCTTTCCTTTGTAATGCAAGTGGCTTAAAGGTGACTATAACTCTACTCACAGATACTTGCCTGTCTACTGATGACATGTCCTTCCAAGCCTATAGAAGCCTTGCACATGTGAGTGGAATCTGTGGTGTGAGGGCACTATTTACATCCTTAGGTTTTCTGTACTTTGGTTCCCAGATACACTCATGCTTCATAAACCAGAAGAACACTCTAAAAGTTAAAAATAAACTGTGTGACTTTAGAACTAGTAGGAAAATTACATGGAGAAGGAAACAGCAATTTTACTGTTGGGTTGCAAGAGAATAATAGTTATCACTTATTGGGCACTTGTGCCAAGCATCTAACATATATTATCTTGTTTAATGTTTGCAGTAAGGTAAGCAGGCACTATTGATATTTCCATTACAGATGAGGGCTGGAACAGAGATACTGAATGAGTTTCTTAAGGTCACACAGTAGAGTTGGCAGAGTTAAGAATCATGGTGTATTGGACCCATGTTGCAATACTTCACTGTTTGAGAATATTTTGATGATGTTCCCATTTTTGAGGAAGAAAAGCATACAATAACCACTTTTGTTTTCAACATGTATAGAAAATATAATTAGGTTCTTTTTTTTTTTTTAAAGCTTAGATCAGTCCTTGTTGAGCACTGATTCCCTCTGTGGAGGGAGCTTGATTTACATAAAACCCATATAGACAGAGTCTAATGATGGAATACTTTCTTCCCATCTTCATTTTTTTTTTTGGTCCACGGTTCATCTGCTGTCAGGTTAACTTCTTACCCTGAAGTAGTAAACTATTGGCTTCCTTTGTCACTTTGACAACAAGTGTCGATACTGTACTACACTACCCAGCTGACATTGATATTAAAGTCAGCAATGGTAAAGCAGTGTGAAGCACAACAAACACAAGAGAGCCATAGAAGAGGAAGGGTGAACCGATAAGTCCCTCAGGGAATGGTGGACCACAAAGATGGTCTCTGTTCAAGTCCAGAGAGACTCGGCACCCGCTGGCCATCACAGACAGTTACTGCCTGGGCCAAGATCCACCCATCCTCTTTATATTCTTAGCCTCTCTCATAGGAGACTCAGGTCTTCTCCCAGGGTTAGAAAAGCTGCTTGGTGAACTCCCCCCCGCCCCCCAGCAGAAATATGCCTTTCATTTCACAGAAGCTCTCAGAAAATCAAACAGCTGATGAGGACCGAACCTGAGCACTTGTGAATTGCTCTGACAATTTCAACCTCATTTCTCTAAAGCTTTAGGGCCTCCTACAATGTAGCCACCATCTATTTCCAATTTTTGTCCTGGCCCAGCCCAGGATGGGTGTGGTGTTAAAACTCAGAGTCAGGAGAGAGAGATTCCTGGCTCCACCATTTAGTAGCTGTGTGACCCTGGACAAGTCATTTACACTTTTCGGCCTCAGTTTCCTCGTCTGCAAAATGGGGATTCAAATATACACCTCAAGAGTTGCTATAAGAACCATATGAGAAGTGAAGGCTGGGCTCACAGTGGCTGCTCACTTCGTTCCCTGAATTTATCAAGCCTTCCCCTCCATCTTCCTAGCTCTCCCTTGTCACCGTCTCTTGAACCCCTTTTCCCCCAAAGGGTGACTGCCAGGTATCCTTCTTCCATCCCACCCCATTTTCCCAGACTCCCTGGAACCTGTAAATCAGATACCAACATTCCTTTTCTCCCAGTATTCGCCTTACCTGGCGACCGGACCCCAGACCCGTGTAGCCGCAGCAACCAAGCTTCCCACAGGCCAGCTCCAACCCGGCGTCCCCTAGCCATCTGTCTCTGCCCCCGCCCTCAGCCTGGCTCCAGGATTGGTCCGTTTCTGCCAGTCCCTGCTCTGATTGGCTGGGCCGGCCTTGCTCGAGCAGGAGACGGGGAGTGAACCCCTCTCCTGCCAATCAGCGGCTGCCGCCGCCTAAGCCGCTTCTCAAGCGCGCCGCTCACGCAGTAAACCCTCCTCCTCCGGCTTGGAAGTCCACCTTTTATGGGGGAGGAAGAAAAGAGCAGAAAAAGAAGACCTCTTTCTGCGGACGGCAAGGCGCTGCACTCGCGCGCGGGCGAGGTTACGCCATCTGTGCGTGCCAGTGACGACATCCGTGCGCGCCCGCAGCCGAGCGTCCTGGGCGCCGGGCGGCGTACGCCTGCGCAGTGGCTCTGAGCGAGCGGTTGCTTGTTGGTTGTTGTAGTAACGGGGGAAGCAGCCGTCAGCGGCGGCCGTGAGCCCGGCTGGGGAAGGAGGAGGGTGGTAGGCGCCCAGCGTGGCCCACGCCTGCCGATCCGAGCCATGGGAAGATGAGAAGGTAAACGCCCCCGGGAGGCGCGTTCCCCGCTCCGGGCTGGCGCCGCCTGCTGCGCTTCACTCTCAGCCTCGTCCGCTGTCGGCTTCCGGGCGGGATCACGGCGGCGGGATCATCCTATCCTCCGGGGTAGCACTTGCGACCTGCCCGAGATTGGGGTGCGCTGCAGTTGCGGCCCGGTCTTTCCCGGTGCAGCACTTGCGTCCTGCCTGGGGCTGGGGTGAGCTGAAGGTCTGGTCCTGTCCTTCCCGGTGCAGCACCTGAGACTTGCTCCGGGTTATGGTGAGCGGGAGAGGTGTGTGTGGGGGGGCGGGGGGAGACAGGGGACGGGAAGGGGTGTGGGTTAGTGGTGGTGGTGTGGGGGTCGGCGTCCTACCTTGGCAGCACCTGCCACCTGCCCGGGATTGGGGTGAGCTGGAAGTGGGGTCTCGTCCTTCTTGGAGAGCACCTGCGACCTGCCTGGGATTGAGGTGTGCTGGGGGTGGGGCAGAGAGGCAAGTCCCTGTAGGGCGAGCAGTCTCCTTAGGCGAGTGTCCTTAATCTGCTTTGGATCGCCCTGTGTCTTCCCGTGCCGCTGGCAGCTTAGGGAAAGACTAGCATCCCTTCCTTGCTGGGAGGTTTCGTTTTCTTTAACTTAAAGGACTTCCCAACATTTTGGGAAAGGTCGAGAAATCCCATTGGGAATCCCTAGAAGGAAGCCACCGAGAATGTTAGAAATTCCCATTCCGCTGCAGACCTGTAGGTATCATTATCGTGGTCGGTTTTTTTTTTTTTTTTACTTACTTACTGTCTAATCGTATATATGTATATATGAAGGCATAGAAAAGTAATGTTTGAAAAGATTGACTCCAAGTGGTTATCTCTGAGTAGTGAGATTATGGTTATTTAAACATACTTTATCAGTAGTTTCTATTTCCTCTTCTAACACACAAAATGAACATGTACTCTTTTTTTTCCCTGGGGAAAAATATTTTAAGTTAGAAATGCAGTGTTGGAAATTTTCTAATATTGATGTCTATTTGAGATTTAGATCGATGTCTGTGGTTTTTCGTAAGGGAGAATCAGTTTTAAGAGTATTTGGAAGAGCAGTGGGTTCCCTCCCACCCCACCCCAATCCCAGCTATTTATATGACCCTTGACACAAGAGACTATATTAACTTTTGGGTTCATTGTTTAATTTGTTTAACTGTAGGCGTGATGGCATCTGTATGTTTGTCGTAGAATCTAAATAAATATTGGTAAGATTCTTAAACCCTGAGCTTTTATTTATTTATTTTTAACCCAGGTCAGGTTTGTCTAGCAAGGAATCTATGTTTTAGAGAATCAGCCACCTACCTCAGAGTGCCCTAAAACAGAAGTGAGTCTATCCCTTTTGGTGCATATTGGGTTTAGTATATAAAAGACAAAAGAGAAACAGAAACTTAGGAGTGGCCCTTCACATACACAAGAGCACAGACAGTATCTTTGAAAAAAATCTTCCTTTTTGTGGCACATTTGAGACATTCTGATAGAAAGTAAGCTTCTAGAAGTTGGGAACTATTTAGGAGTAAATTTATTCTCTCTACTTGGAAGATCATCAGCAATAATCAGTAAATAGACAGCTGCCCTGTGTTTCAGTTTAGTTGATTTTTTTTGCAGGAATCTGTGCCATCCAAATTGTTTGATCCAGTGAATCTGCAAGGAAAGGTCTCTGAGGCCTCCATCTGCTGACTGCATGACAGACCCTAAAGGAAATGCCAGTTGTGATGGCCCGGGACCTGGAGGAAACAGCGTCATCCTCAGAGGATGAGGAGGTGGTAAGCCAAGAGTAAGTAATTGTAAGCCTGCTTTTGATCCTTTGCTTTTAGGATGAAAAATAGTTCTCTTTTATTTATATGTTCTTTTACCCAGTGTCTTTCCTTTGGCATTGTCTGACTCTGGTTTTAGCTGCTCTCTGTGATCTAATTAAAGGTTTTATTATTCCATTCCCATCAGCTATCAAAGCCATTTGCTCTTTTGTCTCCTTTAATTATTACTTGACACAGAGTAAAGAGTCTGGCTCAAAGTTAAAGATTCTCTGTGAGTCCTTCTGGATATGTGTGTGCTGCATAACTGACAAGTAGAGATGATATCTCTTAGGCGTGGTTAGAATCTAATAGGATAATGTGTGTGAAATTACTTTGTAAATTAGAAAGTGCTATATAAATGTAAGGTGTTAATCTTACTGGTTTTAGTGTTTATGGTGAACTTCTAAGGTAAAAGGTTACATTACTTAATGTAATTTTTAAAAATTATTAAGCATTAATAAAGCTTTGAGGAAAGATTTCTCATCATTGATAGGTCATAGAAAAGCATAGAGATTTGAGAGTGTATCTGGGTCATTCTCATTCAGGATAATGAAATGAATAATTCCCTCTGGTTACTTTGTCTTCTTGTGTCTTTTTGCTTTCAGTGTGCTGCCTCTTTCCCATTTTACAAAACTTTTAACTTCTGCAAGCATCCATTTTCAAGATTGTTCTGTTACTCTATTACTGTCTCTCTTATTAGTGGGCTTAGAGGTTGGACCTGACAGCTATTAGGTTGAACTATATGAAATTGTCATTTTGGTAGGTAAAAAACAGATACTGATAATTGCAGATAGTTTGATCTAATTCTATAGTGGATACTTAATAAATCCTTGCTGACTTAATAACTAAATGAATGAATAAGTGATATTCAGTCATTTACATTACTTTTAGATCAGGGTTCTTAACCTTTTTTATGCCATGGATTCCTTAACTGAATAATATTTTTAGTGCCTAAAATAAAATATGTATTTTTACAAAGTATACCAATTACATTAAAATGCAGTTTCCAAAATATTTAAGAACAAATTTGTGATATAGTAATATGTGCTTTTTTACCAATACATCAAATAAGGTCACTCAAAATCTGGGAAAGTTAAATTTTACTTTCCAAAGACAACAGCATGAAGACTGTTTTTGTTTAATTTGCATAAGCTCATGACACTGTCTCTGATTAACAGTTATAGATGGGGAATACTGGAAAGCAACATCGATGTTGGGGTCACCCATGTGAGATGTTGCCATTTAGTGACTGATGATTAGGGGGAGAGTAATTGTTGCCCATTTGTTGTACAGCCTCATCACACTGGTGTCTAGACAGACTGTGATCACATATGATCTGGTGGCAAGTCTAATAACTACCATAACTTGGAAGTAGGAATAAATATAATAATGTTTTGAGATATCCACAACAAGTGTAATATAGTATAAAAATATCTGTAATTTCAGTTAGACTCAAAAGCTCAGATAATGCTAATACTACTATGATGTGTTGCCTATATCCATAATTGAGAAATACTAATTTTTAGTAGAAGTGAGTGAAAATAAAGGTGTAGCTCCTCTTCTTCCTCCCTCCAAATTCATGAACCTTCTGCTCTTCTTCCTTTCAGACTCCCACTGGTGATTTTTAGCTGTTAATCTTGTTTCATCAGTTTATACTGTCTACCACTCACTTGTTGTATACATGACAAAGCTTAAATCAATCTTGTTCACACCGGGAACAGCAGGCTTACATAATACAAGCTGATGTAGAAGTTCGAAGACTTTGAATCTTCCAAAAATGCTGATTTAATCCAAAGATGTATTTCCATAGACACCTGTAAAATCTGCTCAGATCTGTAGGCTGTATTTGGACTTTAGGGATAGAAACTATCCAGCAAGTCCTTGTTTTGCATGGCATTATTTCAAATCGTAAAGAGGATGTTTTGCTTGGGGATCCTAATAGACATAAAAACTTTCATATAAGAACTTGATGTTAGGTTTCTTTAGCCCTGAAAAAAGTTCCAATTCTCTTTCCTAATCATTTTGAATTTTTTCCCTTTAGCACCACCACCTGGTGGGAGCATGTTTTTCATGACAATTTTGCATCCGCAGCAAGTGTTTCTTTAGTTGACCTTACTGAATTAATCATTTGCTCCCTTTTATCTTTCCGTAGGGTGTAAGTGAAAAGATTTCTCTGTTTGGAGGTTTGGCTTTCTACAGATAGTATAGTTAGAGCCTGGGCTCTTCTCAGCTGTATATCTGTTTATTATGTTCCTGATTCTTGTCAGGCATTTAAAAAATTGTAGCAGCAATTGTTTATAAGTGCTAAGACATAGAAGTGCCAGTTGGTAGCTAGTGCTAGATAGAGACTCTTGAATAGTTTCCAAAGTTTCTGTCCAAGTCTTTGTAGTTTAGGCTGCCTGTTTTTTCTCTATCTGCTGACTTAGAAATATTGTACAGTGGAAAAATGAAGGTTGGAAGAGACCATAGGAATCATCTGGCCTCATGCCCACATTTTACAGGTGTTTAACATTAAAAAGTAAGCAAGGCACAAAAAAATCCTTCTTAATAAAAAATGTTCTCTGTCAATGCCATTTCTCACAAATGGTTACCACCACTGAGTCAAAGAACAAGAACAATAAGCATCCACGTTCCATTTCTAGAGAACAGGGAATGAATTAGGGATGGTGTCTTTTCGTTCTTCACTAAAATGCTGTTGGTAGTTCATGCCAGATCTAAAGGCTGCCTTACTTCTCAGATTCGGAGCCTAGTGGCCTGTGCATTCAATGTGGCTGTTTTTTACTTTGGATTGGGAGGATCTGAATTGGCCCTGAGATTTGTGGTGTGGCCTTTGGGAAGAGGTGTGGGTATATGAATTTTTAAGAACAGGGTCAATCTTAGCTAAATGGATCTTATTCCATTTAAGGATTTGATTAGTTTAAGTTCCCCAAGAATTGAATTCAAGGTGTTCAGTGTGTAGAACTTCATTCAATGTGATTAGGGAGGTAAAGGGTAGAAAGAACATAGACATTGGGTTCAAATACCTGTTCCCTTACTGATACAGCTGTATGACCTTGGGCAAGTTACTGAACCTCTCTGAGCCACTTTTTCTTCAGTTCATGGTGCAGGCAAGAGGATTAAGTGGGAGGTGAAAGCACTTAGTTTACGTTCTGGCACTTAATGGGGACACAGTTTATTTAATTTTCTTTCTCTTCCTACCTCCTTGCCCTAAAGAGGTTGAAGATTTTTCTAATTTGTGAGTAAATGTCCATCTGTCCAAGATTGACTATGCTGGGATTTCCTGAGGATAGAGAAAGACAATAAAGTTAGAGGTTCCTTTCTGCCTTCTTGTTTTATACTGGAGAAAAATATATGCTGCTCTATTTAGTGTGGGCTTTCTTTAAGATATGGGATACTTGTATTCATTTAGGGTTCCTAGCTCAGAATCTTGGGATAAGTTATTAAATTGACTTGAAAATGGGTATAGGCAACCCCTTCGGGTCCCTTCCCACTGTGGAAACTTTTCTGTCCTCTCAATAAATCCTGCTTTCTCAAAAATAAAAATAGAGAGAGAGAGAAAATGGGTGTAAAAGCGGTATATACATTATTGTGAACATATTAGTTAGGATTCTTCATGTGTGCAGTGAGTTAAAACATAATTCAAATTTTCCTAAATGATGAAGGCAATTTATTCATTCATTTAGGCAGATCTTGATTCTGCAACTCTGGTTTTAACACCCAGAATATCGTTTCTCTCCTTTGAGTCAAGCTCCCACTGACTTCCTCCTAACAGCTTCAGGTTCTCCCCTCAAAGTCACAAAGTTGCAGTTCCAGACTTCTCATTTTCATTCAACATCAGCAAGAGGAAGAGGGGCCATCACCTGTAGCTGCTACAGAAGAGAAAGAAAGCACTGCTGTTCCAGAGGGTCTCAGAACATGTCTCCTAACACTCATGGGCTCCAGTTGGTTTACGTGTCCATTTCTGAATCAATTAGTAACTGAATGATGAACTACCCTGATTGACTGAAACCATTCAAGGCCCCTCTCTGGAACAGGTCCATCTCTGGAGTTAATCCTAAATAGACACATGGCTAAGAGCAGGAGAAGAGTGATTGCCCACAGGATATTTGGGATTCTTATTCCAGAAGGAATGGGAAAGTTGCTAAGCAGCAAGCCATAGTAATTTGCTTCAGCAGTGAATTTAGATGGTGAGCTGTAAATTAATGAAGCCTTTGTATGGTTGTAGGGATCATCCATGCATCATGTGGACTGGAGGCTGCCGGAGAATTCCAGTTTTGGTATTCCATGCTGAGGCTATTCTGACAAAGGACAACAATATTCGAGTTATTGGAGGTGGGTATAAGCTCTCCCATACATGACAGACTTGGACATGGCCCTGACAACATTGTCTTGAAGAAATTGATATGATATATAGATAGGGAAAGGGCCTTGGTCATAAGAAAAATCTATTGAGTTGTTATGCTTCAGAGATTATAATTGCTTAACTTGTTTTCTGCTTATGTTTTTCCTCTAATTTTTTTCCCAGAATTATATATACATGTGTGTGTATGTAAATATATATAATTTTTTTTGAGTCAGAGTTTTACTCTGTTACCCAGGTTGGAGTGTAATGAAGTGTAATGGCTCACTGCAGCCTTGACTCCTGGGCTCAGGCAATCCTTCTGTCTCAGCCTCCTGAGTAGTTGTGGCTACAGGTGCACTACCACACCTGGCTTTTTTGATTTTGTGGAGACAAGATCTCTCTATGTTGTCCAGGCTGGTCATGAATTCCTGGAGTCAAGCTATCTTCCCTTCTCAGCCTGCCAAAGTGCTGGGATTATAACCATGAGCCACTGTACTGGTCTTTTTCTTCAAATTGTGGTAAAATATACATAAAATTTATTATTTAACTGTTGTAGAGTGTACAGGTCCTTGTTACTTAGTATATCCACAGTGTTGTACAGCCATTACCACTGTGAAGTTCCTGAACATTTTCATTATCCCAAGAGTAAAGCCTGTGCCCATAAGCAGTCACTCTCCATTCCCTTATACCATTAGTCCCTGGTGCTAATCTACTTTCTTTCTCTATGAATTTGCATATTTTGGATATTTCAAATAAATGGAATCATATGATATGTGGCCTTTTGTGTCTGGCTTCTTTCACTTTTCAAGGTTTATCCATGTAGATGTGTCAGTTCTTCATTCCTTTTCCTGACTGAATAATAATTCCAGTGTGTGGGACATTTTGTTTATTTAGTCATCAGTTGATGGACATTTTTGTTGTTTCCATCTTTTTGTATATTGTGAATAGTGCTGCTGTGACTGTTCGTGAACAAATTGTTGTTTGAACACCTGTTATGAGTTATTTTGGGTATACATAGGAATGGAATTGCCAGGCCATATGGTAATTGTATGTTTAACTTACTAAGAACTATCAAACTCTTTTCCGTAATGGCTGTACCATTTTACATTCTCACCAACAGTGTATACAGGCTCCAATTTGTCCACATCCTCACTAACATTTATTATTTTCCATGTTTTAGATTATAGTGAATATGAAATGGTATCTGGTTGTGATTTTTTTTGTTTGTTTTTTTGAGTAGGAGTCTCTCTCTGTCACCCAGGCTGGAGTGCAGTAGCACGCTAATGGCCACTGCAGCCTCGGCCCGCTGGGCTCAGGCGATCCTTCTGCCTCAGCTTTTCAAGTAGCTGAAACTACAGGTGCATGGCACTGAGCCTGGCTAATTTTTTGATTTATTGTAGAGACGAGGTCTCGCCAAGTTGCCCAGGCTGGTCTCAGACCCATGGGTTCAGGCAGTCCTCTCGCTTCCATCTCCCAGAGTGCTGGGATTACAGATGTGAGCCACTGCGGTTGGCTGGTTGTGATTTTGGTTTGCATTTCCTTAGTGACTGATGACATTGAGTATCTTTTCATGTGCTTGTTACTTATTTGTATATCTTCTTTGCAGAAATGTTTATTCAAGCCCTTTGCCTATTTAAAAAAATTAGTTATCTCTTTTGTTGTTGAGTTGTAAGAGTTCTTTGTATATTCTGGATGCTAGACCATATATATGATTGGCAAATGTTCCTATTCTGTGGATTGTCTTTTCATTCTCTTGCTCATGTATTCATTCATGAGCAAAATATTTTAGTTTTGTAACATCCAATTTATGTAGTTTTTCTTTTGTTGCTTATACTTTTGGTGTCATATCTAAAAAAACATTGCCTAACCTAGAGTTATGATCCCTATGTTTTTTCCTAGGAGTTTTACTACTGAAGCTCATATGGTTAGAGCTAAAAAAGTCTTTGATATATTCTGAGTTAATTTTTTAAAAATATAGTGTTAGATAAGGGTCTGCCTTAATGCTTTTGCATTTGGATATCCAGTTGTGTCAGAACAGTTTGTTGAAGAGACTATTTTTTTCCCGACTGAATGGTCTTGGCTTTATTGTTGAAAATCAGTTGGACATAGATGTATGGGTTTGTATATGGACTCTTAATATTCCATTGACTTGTGTATTTTTCTTATGCTATTACCATACTGTTTTGATTAATGTACCTTTGGGTTTTTTTTTTTTAGATTAGAAAATATCATTTATTTAGAAAGTAAATTAGAGAGAAAGAGAGAAGAGAGTCACCTCCCCAAGATAGGGGAAGGGCAATTAATGTACACCTTTGTATTATATTTTGAAATTAGGGAGTGTGAGACCTTTAATGTTGTTCTTTTTCAATATGTTTTTCAGGGTCCCTTGCAATTGCATTGCAATTGTAGGATTGAATTGTAGGATTGAATTGAATTGAAGGATTGGCTTTTCAAATTCTTCAGAAATGACTGTTGGGATGTTGAGAGGGAGCACACTGAATCTGTAAATCACTTTTGAGAGCGTTGCTGTCTTAACACTATTAAGTCTTCCAGTCCAATTGGATGCATTTCCAAGTATTTGGGCAGCTTTAATTTTTTTCAGCAATGTTTTGTCGTTTCAGTGTATGAGTCTGGTACATTTTTGGTTAAATTATTCCTAATGTTTTATTCTTTTTGATGTTATTATAAATAGAGTTGTTTTCTCGATTTCATTTTTGGGTTGATAATTGCTAGTGTATAGAAATGCACTTGAGTTTTGTATATTGATCTTGTATCCTGAAACCTTTCAGGATTTGTGTATTAGCTCTAATGGTTTTTTGTTTGTGTATATTTTTTTCTTTTTTTTTTTTTGAGTTGGAGTCTCACTCTGTCGCCCAGGCTGGAGTGCAATGGCATGCTTACGGCCACCACAATGTTGACCTGCTAGGCTCCGGCAATCCTTCTGCCTCAGCCTTCCAAGTAGCCGGAACTACAGGCATGGGCTGTCACACCCAGCTGTCTATTTATTTATTTTTGAGTTGAAGTCTCACTCTTGTCGCCTAGGCTGGAGTACAGTGGCACGTTCACAGCCACTGCAGCCTTGACCTATTGGGCTTAGGTGATCCTTCCACCTCAGCCTTCCAAGTAGCTGGAACTACAGACACATGCTACCATGTCTGGCTAGTTTCTGTGATTTTTACTGTAGAGACGAGGTCTCACCAAGTTGCCCAGGCTGGTCTTGAACCCCTGGGCTCAGGCGGTCCTCTCCCGTCAGCCTCCCAAAATGCTGGGATTACAGGCTGAGCCGCCGTGCCTGGCCTAATTTTTTATTTATTGTAGAAACGAGGTCTCGCCAAGTTGCCCAGGCTGGTCTTGAACCCATGGACTCAGACAATCCACTTACCTCGGCCTCCCAAAGTGCGGGGATTACAGGCTGAGCCACTGAGCCCGGCCTACGTATTTCTTAAGATTGCCTAAATAGAACATGTCATCTACAAATAGAGAGAATTTTACTTCTTCCTTTCCAACCTGGTTGCCTTTTATATCTTTTTCTTGCCTAATTTCTCTGGCTAGAATTTCCAGTACAATGTTGAATAGAAAGAGTGCATCTTTGTCATTTTCCTGACCATAGAGGGAAAGCTTTCTTGCCTTTCACTGTTCAGTGTGATGTTGTGGGTTTTTCATAAATGTCCTTTATCATGTTGTGAAAGTTCCCATCTGTTCCTAGTTTTTTGTGTTTTTTTCATGAAAAGGTGTTGAATTTTGTTAAAGTGTTTTTCTACATAAATTGAGATGAACATTTTTTCCCTTTATTCTATTAATGTCATGTATTACACTGCTGACTTTTTGTGTGTTGAATCATTCCTCACATTCCTGAGATAAATCCTACTTGCTCAGGGTGTATAATCCTTTTAATTTGCTGTTGAATTTGGTTTGCTGGTATTTAGCTGAAGACTTTTGTTACTTTATTCATAAGGGGTACTGGTCTATAGTTTTCTTCTGATGCCTTTGTCTAACTTTGATATCAGAGTAATCCTAACCTTATAGAATGAATTCTCTGTAGCCTTCACTTGTTATAGGTCTACTTATATTTCCTATTTCTTCTTTAGTCAGTTTTGGTAGTTTGTGTGTTTCTAGGTATTTGTCTATTTTATTTAGCTTATTAATTTGTTTCCATACAATTGTAGTTTTTTAAATCTTTTTATTTCTGTAAGGTCAGTAGTAATGTTCCCCCCTTTCATCTCCGATCTTAGTAATTGAGTCTTTTTTTCTTAGTCCTGTGAAAGATTTGGCAATTTTGTGGGTTATTTTATTTTACTTTTTTGAGATAGGATCTCTCTTTGTCACCCAGACTGGAGTGCAGGGTGCAGTCATAGTTCACTGCATACTCAAATTCCTGGACCCAATTGATCCTCCCTCCTCAGCCTCTCAAGTAACAGGACTACAGGTGCACATCACCATGACCAGCTAATTTTTTTTTTTTTTTTTTTTTTTTTTAGTTGAAGTCTCACTCCGTTGCCTAGGCTGGAGTGCAGTGGCATGCTCATGGCACCCCAGCATTGACCTGCTGGCTCTGGTGATCCTTCTGCCTCAGCCTTTCACGTAGCTGGAACTACAGGCACGTGCTATCACGCCTGGCTCATTTTTCATTTATTGTAGAGATGAGGTCTTGCCAAGTTGCCCAGGCTGGTCTCAAACCCCCAGGGTCAGGCAATCCACTTGTCTTGACCTCCCAAAGTGTTGGGATTACAGACTGAGCTACCGAGCCCAGCCTTCAACTAATTCTTAAAACATTTTTTGTAGAGACTAGTTCTTGTTATGTTGCCCAGTCTAGTCTTGAACTCCTGGTCTAAAATGATTCTCCCACCTCAGCCTCCCAAAGTGCTGGAATTTACAAGTATGAACCATTGCACCCAGTCCTGTTGGTTATTTTAAAGATCCAACTTTAAAGATCCAACTTTTGGTTTTGCTTATTTTCTGTATTGTTTTATTTTTTCAGTTTCATTTATCT